CTCAAGATCTGCTAGCTTTCGTTTCTATCTTGATGGTAAACGAACATAAAGACCTTCAGGTTACAAAGGATAAGAGTACATTAGAGGCTCAAATACGTACATCGAAAAATCACAGGGATGTTCCTGGCACATGTGATATTTGAATTTGACTTTTATTTTTTGTATCAAAGCAAATTCAAATGCCAATTTAAATTAAATCAGAGGGGTAAATAAATGTAAGGACAGATACTCATAATTCAAATAAATGCAGAATTTGAGAGGTAATGCAGCAAAGTCAAATTGGAAGCATTGTATTTATTTACAGCAATATTTGTTATAGCATGTTGCTTTTTTGCAATTTTGAGTTACTTTGTTTAAATTAAAAGAGCCATATACCAGTGAGTGACTCCTAGAGAGACAATTAGTTTTGTAATATGCCTAGCAAAATTTTTTGTAAGAACGGCAAAATTGACTGTCAGTTCAGCAAATATTCTGGTAATCAATCATAATTTTAGCAACAACCGTACTGAGTATTATCTCTGATTTGTAAACATACAGTATTTGATTGTCTTCCTCATCACCGCAGATGCCAGCAAGCTGATTGTTGGAATAGATTGACAAAGCTTTCGAAAAAGAAGAGAAGAGCGATATGGAGAGATTCTTACGGTGGTAGCGGGTGATTGCAATGCACAAAGTACGTAGGCAGTAGACTCATTAATGGTAACCCACGAGAGTCCATCGTTTACCCCTCAGTCTATAAGAACCACGAATTTCAACCGAAAGGATTGCTCCATACTCCTTATGTCTTATTTGTCTATAGCTTTGTCTACCAATTTCAACAATCAGTCCGCAGTTGAGCAAAATTGGCGAATTTTAAAAATCACATGTGTGAGCAAGGAGTCCAATATGTTGATTCATGAAGTGCAGGAGAACGAGTGGCGATATCAGCCGGCTCGGCTCACCGTGCTGTGCGCGCAATGCGTGCAGTATTCGTAAGGTCTTGCAGGCGCTGATATGCGTTCAACGCCAGCCGCACTGTGTTAGGCGCGATTATTCGAACTCGCGTTAGAATAATCGCGGCGTCGAATAATGGGGCTTATTCGACATTGTTAAAGTGAGCGTGATTCCCTTTATGGAGAAATGGAAAAGCAGGATTTTACATTTTGTCACACGGAACTATGTGCCAACTGATTGCGGCACTCCTGGGCCGTGGGCATGTGACAAGAGCCTTGTGGACAGGGCTCATGAGTTAAAGATTCGATTGCATCGGATCGTCGTTTCCGTCGTCGCCGCTGACGTCACAGGCGCTTTATAATTCCCATTCATTCTTACGGCCCTCGACTATCGACACGGAAAAAAAGAGGTAGGGTCCCAACTGTTGGATGATATGGACATTCCCAATTCATTGTGGAAATATCCCGATTAATTGTGGTAGTATCCCGGTAAATTAGGTTCCTAACCCAAATGTTGCGGTACTACCCCAACTTGAGTTGCGGTGCTACCAAAATTAATTGGAAATGTCCATACCATCCAACAAATTTGGGTAGTAGAACCATTTTGGGGGAAAACCCCTGACACTTTTTTTTCCGTGGAGGACAATCCTTCTTGCCCACCTGTCCTTGGTTCCGTTTGGCATGTTTACGTCCACATCTTCTTTAGGAGTTGATTTCAGAACACCCTTTTGCGTGAATGGAGATGTTGCATGTTTGAGGAATATGCGATTTGACTATAGATTCTTATGTAAAAATTCGCGAGAAACACGATGGTGCCACTGGTTTTCCCTGAAATCAACTCCCAAGCTCAAAAAAAGCTCTCAAGTTGAGGCCAAAATGGAGGGGATATCCCACGCTATCCTGAGAGTCTACCTCTACATCAAGACAAACTCTCCATGCAAAGATAGGGAACAAATACATCAGCAGGGTTGCGTGTTTTCAGTTTTGGAGTCCCCAAATAAAAAGCAGCCCTGTCAATGTATTTTCTCCCTATCTTTGCATGGAGAGTTTGTCTTCATGTAGAGGTGGACTCTCAGGATAGCGTGGAATATCCTCTCCATTGTGGCCTCAACTTGAGAGCTTTTTTTTAACTTGGGGGTTGATTTCAAAGAAAACCAGTGGCACCATCGCGTTTCTCGCAAACTTTCACATACGAATCAATTGTCAAATCGCATATTCCTCACACATGCAACATATCCATTGTGAATCATATTCTACGGTAAAGTTAAGAAGAAAAAAGAAGGTAGTATACAGCAGAAGATTTTGGTTCGCACCTTGTCTCGTGCCACATTAACACCCCAGGAAAAAGTAAAGTGTTAAGGCCGCGAGGAAATAATTAGTCAGACTCCGGGTCAGATTCGAGGTTAGCAGTAAAACCATCCGTTCCAGAGACGGAGATTGCCAAAATAAATGCGTCGCAATTTCGCAACGGAGGCGGAAATCGTGCTAAAAATATAAAACAGGAGCCAATAAACGGCGCCATTAAGCCGGGAGGGGCTCGTGCTCCATAGCGCAACGGCGGTGCCCAATGCCCGTCCGTTTTGTTAACTTTCATCTTAATTGAGGGAACCGCGGCGAATTTAATCCGGCCGGCGGAAAAGTGGTCGTCGCTGTCCGGCTTTGCCCGATGTCCATCTTTCCGGCCTCGATTCCCGCGCAAAATTCGGCGATTTTTTCGCGAACCGGCAACGGCGCCGACGTCCGGCTCGCATTAACCGGTGAAAATGAAAACCCAACGAAAGTGCAATGAGCAATGAGCACTCACTGGGAAGAAATGGTTGCGTGGTCGCAATAATTGCCCAAAATTCTGACACGACCGCTGACCAAGTGACCGATTGACGCTAACCTGTATTCCGCCAAACATCCAGTGTTGCGGATCTCGGGAAAAATCACTGATTTCCAGCCGGAAATCACAGAAAAAAATAGATGGTGCTGACGACAGAAACTTCTGTTCACAGGACTCCTGCAGTTTCTTTGTTACACTTACAGAATTTGTCTATCACAGCACTCTTTCCTCATAGCGGGAGCTTCTGTGACTCTTACAAAAGAAGTGTAGGAGCCCTGTGAACAGAAGTATTTTTTTCAGTGATGGACCACTAGAGAAGGTTCGAAGTTAAGTATTCTGATACAAGTTTCTTAACCAAACTTAAAGTACTTAACGTAAATTTAACGTATTTGTGCAACGAAAATAACTGAAATTGACACCTAGCAAAGATACTGAATATTTCTTGATGCGTAATTTCAAACCTCCCGCTCATGAAAACACAATGGTTTACGTACGTCAGATCGCAAACTAAACGCTATCGTGCAGTCTCTGAGATTAAAAGAAAAAAAAGAAAAAAAAAAAAAAAAAAAAAAAAAAAAAAAAAAAAAAAAAAAAAAAAAGGCAATCGAAATCTTGACGCTTTGGCTCAGCTATATCCATTTTTTTACACTTTGAACAATTAAGGGTGGGAAATGAACAATGTTTGCTTGAGAAGCCTACCAAAATTGTCGTGCGCGATTTGACTCACGTAGAGTATTGTGTTTCTTGTGACCGGGCAATTCAAATTTCCCGTAACCGATGTAAAATTAAAACTTTAATATGTTAGTTAGGAGTTAATTTCAGTAATTTTGTATGCAAAAATCGTGTTTTATGTGAAATTCTGGTTAAGGAACATGTATCAGAATGCTTAAATTCGTACCTTGTTTACTGTTCCATTCAATCTAAAAAAGTGAACATAAAAAACTCTCCTATCTTTTCTCGGACAAAATATTTTATCGGAAGAAACGAGGCAAAGTTGGAATGCTTATACGGCGTCGAAACGCAACATATCGACGGTGAAACTACCAGACCACGTATCTCGTTTGCGGTGTTTAAAAATCTCCACTCCTATTTTATTTTTTTGAAAGAGAACAAATCAATTACAATTCTTGAAATTTGCACAGAGTTTTCTTTGTACAGAGAAGAAAAAACAGGGAAATTTTCAAGAATTTACGTTCAGTAGTTTTCTATTTTAAAAAAAGTACGGCAGGAAGTCTGCAACGTCGCAAACCGAGATACGTGATTTGCAAACCACGGTACCAAACTACCATGGTAGTTTCACCGTCGATATGCATTTTACGCTCCATTATTCGACGCCGCGATTATTCTAATGCGTGTTTGAATAATCGCGCCAAACATGGTGCGGCTGGCGTTAAACGAAAATTAGCGCCTGCAAGACCTTAGGAATACTGCACGCATTGCGCGCACAGCACGGTGCGCCGAGCCGGCTAAACTAGGGCTAAACTAAAACGTCTAGCGTCTAGTGGTTCATTGAGTGTTAGTGGTGAGGAAATAACGCTCGCAGGGAGATAAAGTAGCACCAGGTCCAAGATTGGACTGTTTGCTCATCTTCCTCGTAAGTTCCTATCAGTGAAAATTCTTGAAAGTTGGTAATACCGGTTTTCCTCCGTTTGAAGTCATATAAAACAATCGAGTCTTGGTGAAAAAGCTTGACTCACCCTAAACCCACAATATCGCCACTCGTTCTCCTGCACTTCATGAGCCAAAATATTGGACTCTTTGCTCATACGTGTGATTTTTAAAACTCGCCAATTTTGCTCATCTGCGGACTGATTGTTGAAATTGGTAGACAAAGCGATAGAGGCAACGTTGGAATGCTCATACGGCGTCAAAACGCAACATATGCCTTTTAAGCCCCATTATTCGACGCCGCGATTACTCTAACGCGAGTTCGAATAATCGCGCCTAACACAGTGCGGCTGGCGTTAAATGCATATTAGCGCCTGCAAGACTTCAGGAATACTTCATGCATTGCGCCAAACAATGCGGTCGGCGCGAAACGCATATTAGCGCCTACAAGACTGTAGGCGCAACCACCCGCTTCCACTCATAGGATCCCTCCATTACCTTCTGTCTTCTTTCTCTAGATCTGTCTATCAATTTCAACAATCAATCCGCAAGCTGCGAATGTCCTTTCCTCAATTTACGGTTCAAATTTATTTTCATTTCCTTTAATAACCGTCCAAAAAAAAGTTTATACTCACTTGTGCCAGTATGTCCGATGGCAGAAACCGGTCCAGAAGAGGTGGAGCTAGGGTATCCGTTCTGCGGCTTCTTCTTGTCCCCGGAGCTGGAGCTGACGACGAGGGGCAGCGAGGAGAAGACGACGACGTTGGGCACCTGCGTCGTGGAGCTGGAGATGGGTGACGTCATCGTCGACGTGGCCGCTAAGGGCGACGCGGGCGAGGAGTAGCTGGAGGCGGGCGAGGAGGCGGTGCTCGTGGGCGTGGCCGCGCTGCTCGAGGCCGTCGATTGGTGCGGGCGCGACGGCTTGGGGCGGACCCCGGACGAGGGGCGGGGCCGCGTCACGAAGGGCTGGTTCGTCGAGTACCAACTGGGGCGCGTGTGGAACGGCCACGAGGACTCCGTGCTCCCCTTACTACCGTCGTCGATTTCGTTCATGCTCTCCAGAAGCGTGAGATTCCAACTGAAATTTGAATACAAAGGAAGAGTAAGACAATGCCAGAGACAAGAGACCCCCCACGCCAATTATTGAAATTGATAGAGCTGACTTAGCTGTAGGCGTAGCTATAGACAAAGCCATAGACATAGCAGTAGACAAAGCCGTAGACATAGCTATAGACAAAGCTCGACAAAGTTATACACGAAGCCACAGACAAAGCCATAGACAGAGCCATAGATAAAATTATAGACTAGCTACAGGACCTATAGCTCCTAGCATGCCCTCCTATGTCTTCTTGGTCTATCGGTTTGTCTATCAATTTCCATAATCAGCCCGCTGGCCTCTTAGCAACAAGTGGAATCTTTTACTTTCGGGGATTCAGCACTTCCTTGTGGACAATTATAGGGGAGCAACAGTTATCTTACCCACTAGGTGAACCTACGAGCTCCGGTTGATGTAATGAGCCAAACCAGTATCCCAAGCTTCGATTTGTTTCCGAGACGAAATTCTCAAAACTTTGTTGACCATGCACCTAGTAGGTAAGTCAACATTTGAATGTTTGAGTCGCGAAAGTAAAAGCTACCACTATCGGCAAGATACTAGTGGAAGGTCTCTTGTCTCTGGACAAAGCATTTGGTTGGGCATGCTGACTTGGCTACAAATTAAGGGCTGAGATGATAGACCGACTCGATCTAGAGGCGGAATCATGAGAGAGGATTCCTCATTGGACTCCGCCTTCAGCCATCTGCCATGCTCTTCTTGTGGTGGTGATACACATCACTGTTTAATTTTGCCTTCAATTTGTAGCGTAGGCCGGAAAGCATCCGCTGTGTATCAATAGTTATCTATTCAAGGATCTGTGTTTTGTGTTTTTTTCCTTCAAATTTTGGCTCCAAATAAATCATGCTCAACTCCGTGTGCTGACTTTGGTACCGGAATTATTTTTTCTCTGGCCCCTTGATTTGTAATAAATCTACATACAGCATAAAAATAATTAATCACCCTTTGATTTCTGTGGGGAATATACATACGGCATGCAAGACAGCGCTACCCTTCTAAAAACGATCATGTTAGTACATGGTACAATGTCGTGATCATACTGTCACCAACATAATATGCTTCTGATCAACTTGGTATCAACAAGACACCGTGTTCCACTCACTGACGCGGCATGGACGTTTTTGGTAGGATTTAGCTAATACCTTACCTTGTGTATATAATTCTGACAATGGATCAGTTGCGCTACGGTCACAGAACTGTGTTTTAATGGTTTCAGCTTAAGAATTAGCACAATATAATTAGCTCTATTCAAACGTCAAGTCTGTACGTCAAAACGAAGATATCGCATACCAAAAAATAAGGCATATGACGTCATCCACCGCGGTAATGTATGACATGGTTTCTGCTGCCTTAGTATGTCATCGGTGTTTTACGTCGAGCAACCAGTGCGGCAGTACAAGTATCACTAATTTGACTAATTTCTGCGATTAGAAACTGCTATTTCTGGCTCACCCATAAAATTAATAATCCGAGTTGTATTGGGAAACTAATGGTGCATATGATGTTTCTAAAATGACCCTGAATTTTGTTTTTCTTATTGAAAAAAGGACCTCGTTAAGCAGAAAGGAACCCAGCAACATCAACCATTGCCAAATTTAAGATGCCGCAGTTCATTTGTTCCATGAAAATGAAAACGGTTGTGCGGATTTTTGTGCGAATTCCAGTAAATTTTCTGCGAAGCAAATTCCTCAAACTTTTTCAAGGAATCCGCACAAACATTCTCTCATTTGTAAAAAATTAAATTGTTCAGTCAAATTTGACAATATCTGATGTTGCTTGGTTCCTTTCTGCTAAACGCGGTCCAAATGTAGTCCGATGAATCCTAGGTGGAGGAAACGGTGGTATGCAAAACAGCGGTGGATGACGTCATAGCCGTGTTCCTCGATGAGCGACATCTCCGATAATATTGGACGCAGAGACTTGGCGATTGGACGAAACTTATTATTTTCTGCTGATCTTTAAGCTCAAACCATCGAACCTTGATTCTGTCACTAGCGCAACTGACCCATTGTCGAGGACTTACCTAGGTTTATGACTAGATAGCGGTGCTGAGGTAGTTGTGGTAAATTGATACGTGACGAACTGCGGCTTGGTGCCGGAGTTGAGGGCCGACGAGAGGCCCCCGTGGAAGGGGCCCAGGGAGGGCCGACTAGAAGAAACGGAGATGAATGACGTCATCGAGGCGGGCGCGTCCGGCGTGGACATGGACAGCGACTGACTAGTTGCCTGCTCGCTCGACGCTGGCGCCGGCGCCGGGCGCTCCATCTCCATCGTCCGGTTATTTACACTACTATAGACAGCGTGGCCCCCGAAAGCGTAGTTCCCGCTCGGGCGCACCTCGTTCTCCTCGTTATTTACATGCATGATCTCGTTGTGCGGCCGGAAGTGGCTGTGCCCGTGCCCGTGGTGGCCCTGGATGTGGTTCCCGAGGTGGCTCCCACTGTAATCTGTAACCATAGACATAGTTAAAGTTAGAGTACCTCAGGGAGAGTGTGGCCACTGGGTCCCATGGACGGGCTTAGGACCCAAAAATGGCGGCGCTTTGTTGTGGTTTGTAAGATGGGAGGGAGGTCATAGTAGGTGCAGCTGAATGATGTGCTCTTATGAAATTTTGATTATATTTTTGTGAGACTGTGAATGCTGCCTAAAAGTTTGTAAAATTGGACTTATTTCTATCAAACGGAACTAAGCGCCGATTTGAGTTCCTTATGAGGAATTTAGAATCCCGGATTACGCGTTCTGTCAAACTGAACTAAGCGCCATGGAACTGCATGAGTATAGGAACGAATGAGCCCAACGCCCGGTTCCGCCGCCAATCCAAGCCTCTCCCTACCTTCCTACCCCGATGGCGCTTAGTTCCGTTTGACAGAAATATGTCCAATTAAGAGATGATTAGAATATGGTTTTATAAAATTATCGTGTTATTTTTGTAAGATTGTGAATTCTGCACCAACAAAATTATGATATGTATTCACTCGATATCCTAATAACAGTAAGAGTAACTTAAACATGGAGGTGAAGATGGCCACAAGATAAGGCTTCCAACGATTAACAGCACAACATAATTGTAAGAATGAATATTTGGGTTCTCAGCCCTCTAAAAAAATTTTCTTTCAGCATCTCCATAGCTCTACATTGTTAATTTGATTGCATTTTGCAAAAAGGAGCCAAGAACATTTCAATGTCACTAAGATCGTGCAACTTTTTTTTTACCTTGCAAATGTAAACTGATTATCCAAATAAGTCTTATCTTTACTCCCAATAAACTATGAATTCATGACGAAAATTAACTTTGAAAATTTAATTTTTTGCATGATTACAGTACTTTTCCAAGGAATGTAAGTTGCACAACCCTAGCGACATTGGAATGATTTTCGTTTCTTTTTGCAACATGCAATCCAATATTCACCGAGACACCTCGAGCGGTAACAGGTGCTAATTCTGACCTTGACTGTGGGCATGTCCTTGACCATGCCCATGGCTGTGGCTTTGGATATGATTGTGGCTGGAGCCGTGGCTGGGCTTGTCGCTGTGGCTCACGTTGTGCGGCCTGAAGAGGCCGTGGCTGTGGCTGAAGGCGTGGCTGTGGTTGTTGTGGTTCCGGTCGTAGCCGCCGTACATGACGAGCGGCTGCGACTCGGGCTGGCTGTGGAAGTGGTCGATCTCGTTGCTCAGCGGCCGCCCGGGCTTGTTGACGCTGAGCACCGTGTTGACGTTGAAGGGCTCGCCGATGGCCGGCGAGGGGCGCGCCGTAGCGGGCGAGGGGCGCCCGGTGGAGCTGGGTTTCTGGCGGGGCGGCTTGGGTTGCGTGAAGAGGACGGCCGGCTCGGACGGGTCCGGGAGCATGTCCAGTTGGTTCGAGCTCAGGTTGTGGGCGCAGCAGCTCCCGAACATGAACGTGTCAACGCACATCCCGACGTGACGCCCCTCCGAGTTGATGCACTCCCAGACGAACATGCACGTGCCCTCCAGTCCGTTCACCCAGCATGGCTTCGGGTTGATTTTGTAGTCTGCTAACATAGGAAATGAAAAGTTAGTATACCGTGAGAAAAAGTAACTGACGCCTTGTGGAAATATACTGGGAAAAAAATTCCGACCGTGGAAGCCTTACCCACGCACTGGTAAAAAAAAACCTCTTGGTTCAAGAGTGCAGTTTCTTGTCGCCGGATTTAAGAGTCTGGACTCTTGTTTCAATGCAAAATCCGCTTGAAACAAGAGTTCAAGACTCTTAAATCCGGCGACAAAAACTGCACTCTTAAGTCAATGCAATGCGGCATTGGTCCAAGAGGTTTTTTTTACCAGTGCGGGCTTTTAATGGACATACCATCCGTTCCGGGCTCAGAGGCCGATAGTTCCGAGTGCTAGAACCGTAGCATTGACTGCTTCGGGTTTTGAGGGTGGAACAACGGGCTCTAAAACCGGAACTACCGGCCACTGAGCTCAGAACCGACGATATGTCTGTATGGTTCGTTAGTACGGCCTGTTTTTTTTTTTTTCAGTATATTGGGAGTAAAACTCGAGGTAACTTAGACGTAGAATTAATATTATCTGCTTAGTTTTCCCTGGGGTGACACTGACTTGATCTTTGGGTTAACATTAATCTGACCTTTCGGTGAAAAGCAACCACCTTAAAAATCAGGCACGAGCGGCCAGAGCTGAACCTGGGCCGCACTGGTGAGAGTACAGTTCGTTAACTATTCGCAAGTCTCAACATCTGAGTGACAGTGAAAGAATCAGTGTAAGCACATTAGTTCAGCTTCAGCAGGACGCTCTCCATACCCTTAGGTGTCTCAGAGATTAACCTACGGTTTAGGTCAATCAAATCAAAAAAGTTTTCGATCAACCAAATCCTTCTGGTCGACTTGACGAAAGGAAGAGTAATTCGAGGTAACCAAAGTAACCATAAATACAGACATTTTTCACTGTGCTTTGGCAGACATACGACTTTTTGGTTCATCTGGAATGTTGCAAGTATATAAGCCGTGCTCACTGTAAAACGCTAATGCAACAAGAGTGGAGGAGTGAAAAATAATAAACTGCTGATGGGTAAAGAGGAAGGCTAGAAAGAAGCACTTTTCTCCGGATTAGCCTCGTGCGTTGGCGGCCGGCGAATTTCACAGCCAATCGAGCAGGAACCGAAACACGTTGACAAAAAACTGTCATCAACTTTCAACGAGATGAGTCTCGGAAAATCACCCGGCGCTCCTGGCATCCTGACTGCCAGATCTCACGAGAATCTTTCTATTATCGCAAATACCCAGAAGTTAAATGTTACTGAAATGAAATGACAACTGGGGTTGGAACGCACAAAAAATTACGTCAGAATTAAGATGGTTCTTTTGCACATTGGAAAAAGATTTGAAAGTCGATTGATTCTGGACTTTAGGAAATTGCTTGATAAATTCCGAGCATCGCCACACGCTGTTATTTGTACAAAATACAAATATTTGACTTGAATGAACATTGCAAATTGTTTCGCTTTTCAATTTGCGATATTCCTCGTGGTAAACTTTTAGTGTTTTTAAACCTGTTTCTTTGTCAATTTAAAAATTCCTGACGTTCTATAGCTCTACAAGATGTGATGTTCGGAAATAAATGTCTTAAAAGCTAGAAATTATCAATCAAATCGTTTTCACAAGTGCTGAAGATCCACGTTAATCAAATTGAATCGGCACGGTTCACCGGTCACACAACATTGGTCATAACGGCTGGATGCAACTATTCGTGTCCAAGGGATGTCCTTGTTGCATACAGTCAAGATTGAAGGCGACTCGGATTTTTTCACACTTTCGACTTTTGCCTCGCACGATTAGTCAGTAGGATCTTGATCCTCTTGGTCGGTATTTATAGTTTTAACATTCCAAGTTGCATGACTTGTTGATGAGCCACTGTCAGCAATTTTCAGTGCCTGGTCTAGCGCTCTCTGATCAATATTGAAATTAGCTGTGACGTCAGCTTTGAAAAAAATACTCATCACGGCGGCAGACGGAGCGGAAACGAAAAATGAGACTGCGTTTTTCGGCGTCTGCGGAAAAATGCAGAAAAGAGACTATGCACCATTACGCAGGGGTGGGGAGGGGGTGGGCGAGCACGGGTAAGGAGCCAAGTCCAGGAGCAGAATTAACAAGGATGATAATGAAGACGGCAGTGAAAGTGCTCGCCAGAGCGGCGTGAAGCCATTGTTTTTCTAAAAGGGCCATTGTTTTTTTTCGAAGGTGCACTTACCGCGGCCTGTCGGTTGTTTTGCATATAGAAAGTGCGAGTTGTATCACCGCCGAGGACGAAAATTACTTACTCAGCCGACTGCCACTGCCGGCCCATGGCTCACCTGCTGCACTTTCACTGAAAAACGCCGCGGCCGTTTCTTTGATCAATTTCCATCGACGCTCGGTTTTTTGCTCCTCATTCCGCGAAGCGGGCTTTGGGACACGCGCCGGATTTGCGTGTACCGCCGACGACGCTCTGCCGTGCGAAGGAAGAACGCCGTATGAGCTTTTAGACGTTGCCACATTTCCCTCACTAAAAACCTACTTTGCTAGGACAATTTTGAATATTTTCCTTTAAATTTTTTAAACTATGTTGTTCACAATTTCATCTCAAATATTTGAAAATTTCAAGGAAAAATACGAATAACTTTCCTCCAAAATACATTTTTTACGTGGAGAAATTTGGCACTCTCGAATGTTCATACGGCGTTTTTCCTTATAGCACGACAGCGCTGTCATGCACCTTCCTTCCCTCTTTCTCGCTCTGCAGGTGCTTGGACCGGAGGATAATATGATTTGTTGAGTACAAAATTCAATATATCGTTATTAAACTGTGCTGCCCTCAAAAATCGCGGCAGAGGGGTCGATATCAAAACAGTTGAGGGGCTTGGAGGACAAGGCGCCTCTGTGCAGTTTTTGCTATTTCTAGAAATACGCGTTTAAAGTTTTAAAATTACATGGAACCTAATGGCAGATAGGAAGTTTAAACTCAGCTTCTGATGCTTTAAGGTTGGACTTTCGCTGTGAATTTTCCACAGAATATACTTTCAAACTATTTTTGGTTGAGTTCATGAAGAATATCTCAATTTTTTCGAAAACTGCTCTTCTGCGCCTTGTCTTCCAAGCCCCTCAGTTCATTTGGTCTAAGCGGAACCATGGTATGTAGCGGAGATGGGACGTCATCAAAATTTTTGGGCGCCTTTTTTCACATTTTTTAAAACTTCTCTTGAGATAAACAACCAATTTTAGAGGAGTTTTAGAGGAGATTTCCTCTTCCTCACGTGCAAATTCTCCCTTTACTTTTGTGAGACGGCGCCTCATAAAATCTGGACCAACGTGAACGCTGCCTCGGCGTCAATTACGCACCTTTAAACTTGGTCTTATTTCCACCCCTCTCCACCTCTAATTTCCTATATTTCTCTTTTTCTCTTTTCTTTGTCTCTCCTTTTTCTCTTTCTCTCCCTTTTCTCTCCTCTTCACCTCCCATCCTCTTTGTTTTAGCTCCTCTCACCTTGGTGTCCCTGCTCCGATTGCTCCTGGTACAGCTGTTCCTCATGATTAGACTTAAAGTTTGAAAAGGTAGAAAGAGGTAGTCGGCTGAGGATATAGATTAACGTCTAATTAAGTTCAGCATTTTAAACGACTGTCTGTCTCTTGGGAGAAGTTGTTCCAGCGTCGTTTGTCCGGACGTAAAAATCAAATGTCACTCGCAGATTGGAATAATTACCACCAATTAGTAGACAAATTTTAATTCCCTCGAACCAGTTATCTTTTCAACCTGGATTTCCGACCATTAACCAGCGCAGCCAAAACATCTTTTTAATTTCGTCATTTCGTTCGTTCTCATCTAGTATCTTTATTTTGTTGTGTAACCAAGCAGTCTCTACTTTTTATCAAATCGCATAATTTGCATGCTCAGACTGGACTGAAAGGAAGAGTGAGAAAGTTTTCAAGTCCTTGTGCAAAATAAGCTCAGTTGCCAAATAGTGCACATAGCCTGACGCCAAAAACTTTTTCCGTACAAATAATAATACTTCTAATACATGTTAAGTTACTCCATTCTCAAGAGGGTTGCTTCAGGCTAGCTCAAAAATTTTATCGCCTATCACAAGTAAAAAAAAAATGAATGCACTTTTAATGTTGTCGTATCAATTTGTTTTTATTCTTCATTGTTTTCAATTAATTTTTACTATTCTAACTATTATTTTTTAGCACGCAAACGAATCGTTGAATCTGAATAATTCTGAATTCAACTCAATACAAAAGTATGTTCAAACATCAGAAGCAGTGCAACACTGCTAACATTGCGCTCGGTCGATAATTCACGCTGTGGTCAACATTGAATGAATTCTAAACTGGATACAAATATTCGTGCTCGGTTATTGTGCGTATTGCATATTCAAAAAATTGAAGGCGTTTTGATCCTCCTCGTTTTCGCAAAGTGACATCCAGCGGTCATTTAACGTCACTGATAAAACTAAGAACGTGAACCGGAGGAGGAAAGGTAAAAAAAGAATATCTCGGCCCCATCCTCGCAATGTCCTTTTCCGAAATGTCTTTTATGTCCGTTGTTTTCGCGTGATGACGACCAAATGATTCAAAATTTGGAATTTGAAGTATACGCGGCCACTTTTGTCTCTAAAACGCACCTCAAAATTCCATTTGCTTGATTGTTACTTGCTAATATTGATCGGTAGAAATCATACAGATAAAGTTTGATAAAGCTTGCATGCAGTAGAAAATGGGTAAGAGATAGGTGTTTTTTTTTCTCTTTTTTTTTTTTATAAATGGACTCGTCCAATATGTCAGTGAGATCAAGGGTATATACATAAACTGTAACTTAACTTAACTGTAACTGTAACATAAACTGTAACATAAACACTTTAAAGGCTCTTTCCCAAATTTCACTTAGTAAACGGTTTGAAAAGCGCGAAGTTTGATAATTGATCTTTATGGGAGATGTAAGTGTTCAAAATAGGCATTAGTCAAATAAAAATTTGACAATTGTCACGATGAAGACAATAATCTTTGAAATGGAGAATTTGAGAGTGCTTAGTGAGCCAAGCTCACGGTATTTTTTACAATTTTTCTCCGATAAGCCGATACGGGGAATGATAGAATGATAGATTTAAAAGTGAGAAAGTGTACCGCCGTGTAACGTAATCAGGCGGCATTTTCCGTTAAAACACATGCATTTTAGCAGATTAGATAATTTGATCATATTTCCTCCAATTATAGCTCAATTTAGAAACCAAAGGTATTCTCGTGCTCAGTTCAGTCAATAGTTTCCAATTAAATATGAAATTCATCAAATTTTACACACCTGCAAATTCTGCATTGCACTCATTTGACTTTTGCATTTGTCTCATATGAAATTTTGGAAAGATCACGCGACGCAATGCGTTTTTTCACATCCTGTTCCACCGTAACATGAGAATGTAACGTTCACTATATAGTAAAAGCACCTAATACCTTTTGAGTATTATCAATATGATACTTACTATTACTATTTGCAGTGGATCGTGACTGAGATGACAAGATGCTCAATAGAATGACTCCCACCACCGCCACCCAGTACATCCTGCGTCCCTGTAACAACACGAATACAACAAATTAAATACAATTGAATACGACGAATACAGAAAATTAAATACAACTGAATACCATGAATACAGACAATTAAACGTGGAATGATCTTGAAAATGATGAGAAGGGCTCGAAGAAATAGAAAGAAAATTGGACCGCGTTAAGCAGAGAGGAACCAAATCACATCAACTATTGCCCCAATGTTGTACACGAAAATACTTGTGCAGATTTTTGTGCAGATTTTCGTGAATTTTCTGCACAGTGCGAAGCAAATTCCTCGAGGTAGGTGAGGTTCCGCTTGATTTCCGAATTCAACAATGCCTACATTCATAAACGTCCGTAATTTTAGGTAGGCGAAAAGCTAAGGTTTTCCTTCGTTTCTTCAATTCCTTCTCAACTCTGCACGGAGGATTTAGTTTCAGTTGAGTTCATGAATATTTTAATTACTTCGAAAACTGCACTTATGCGCCTTGTGCGCCAAGCCCCTCAATTGCAATTGTGCAGTATCATTACAGCGGATAAAGTTCAAATGAGGTTTTTGTCTTGCTCTTGCTTCCCATACCACTGGAAGGACATGAACAGGTTTTAATAAACATGGACGTTCAAGTAGTCTCCTATATATTTTGATTTATAGTTTATACACTGAAAAAAAAAGTTCGGTCATATGAACCGATTCGAAATTACATGGATCTTTATGGCGGAGAAAAAATTCCAATCTGACTTTTTGTTGGGTATAGCAATTGGAATTTGGGTGCGAATTTTTCAGAGAATGTGCATTAAAACTAGTTTAATAACATGAAATCGTGAGCATCTCATTTTTTTTGCAAAAACTGCACTCATGCGTCTTATCCTTCGTGCCCCTACACTCAGCTCGCGGTTTATGAGAGCGAGACATGGTACTGCGGGTTGCGGCGGTGAGACCATCAAGGAGCCGATGCCGGTGCTCCTTAATGGAACCAGCCGAACCCGACGCAGAGGCAGAGCCATAAAACTGAATAATGGCCCGATAACTTCCAGCGACATTTTCTGCTTACTGATTTGCATAATTCTTTCATTAGTTTCGACAGATATTGACTTTAAAATAAATACACGACAAATCTTCATTCGAGACTTGTTAAATCAATTTATATTGCGAAGTTTCAATTATTTACTCGAAAGCGTCGCAGCCGTCGCGTTCTGCTAGCGTTTTTGCTGCGGTCTTGACTGATTCCTCTACTCCTCTAAGCGTTATGTTCAGAGCCTTACAGTTCGCGATGATTTGTCTACTTGCATGAGAGCTGCGTTTAAAATTAGGTATCATTTAGAGAGCTTGTTTCGTGCTAATAACTTTTGATCTAGTCATTAATCAATACATCGAATTTTGACGTCAAATGCCAGATTTTTTACGTAAAAAAATTGCGGAATCGAAAAAGAGTTTACATCAGTAACCGTTCACGCGGAGAGAGACGACGAAGAACATTGAGGAAACATTTTCAGAGGTGCGGTTTTCTGCGAAGTGGTTCGAAAAATCAAAACCGGAGATTTTGATTAAAAACTTCCTCTAGTATCTTCGAAAATAAATTTACGGTTTAGTTTACTTTTAGGTCGATTTAGGACACTAAGTTTCATCATAATTCCTATGATCCTTTGCAATTATAATAAAGCTAATACTGAAAATATCAATTTAATTCGACAAAATTTTTCAACGAAGTTCAATAAAATTTAGAAATTATTTATCAATTGACCGATTATTAAGTCGTCTCCATGAGTAATATTGATTTACCGTAGCAAAAGAAATATAAGATCCGATATAATTAAGCTTATGGAGTTAGATGAGTAACATTTTTCAGGACCGTGAGTTCAACGAACTGCGGTTATGAAACTGGTGGAATGACGTGTGTCTTCGTTCGAATAATGAATCTGGTAGGACTGCATCTCAATTAAAGTTGACGAAAACCGTTTTAAGAGGAAGAAAAGTTGTGTCTAGAAGTGTCGGTTCAGTTATATTAAATTATAAACGGAAACCGTCGAGAAACCACAAGAATGCTGAGATCAAAGACTACATTAAATCCGTAATGAATGCTTCAAGAGTCTAGGAAACGATAAACCATTCAGACCTCATTTTTTTAAGTGATGAAACGGTGTCATTTTGGGCTGTACTACTTACAGGCATTCGATGCATCAAATCCTTCCGTCTTTTTAATTTCCATGAGTTCTCTATGACAGATCATTCTGTGGATAAGATCTGAAGTACCGCGCAATATGGTTTCTTATTTAAATGTTTCATCGAAAATGTTAAATATCTGCCAATTTTCAAAATCGTCGAATGGCACACATGAAATTTGAATTTTTATGAGGAGACATTTGCGGATAAGGGGTGTAAATGTCAAAAATTAAAAGAATAAAATTTCACTTTCCTAGTGCAATGGATTGCATGACTTTCCGGCATTAATTTCATGATTTAAGTCTGCTGGCAATTTCGTGGTGGATTAAATAAGTTAGCAAAATTCCATCAAATAATGAGTTTCGTAGTTTTTATTACTTGAGAATGCGAATAGCTACTACGGATAAATTCGTGCAAATTAGATGAAAGTTATATTCCAATCGTAAATTTAAACGGCTTATATCAACGTTGGAAAGTTGATGACGTTAAACAAATGCTCGTCTTCTTCGCTGAATAATTTTCAAATAAACTGTGGTGGCCAACCGGAAGAATTTTCTCTATGCTCGTTCTGCCAACTTCTGATTGATCTTTTATGCTCTTTTCTTTTTTACTCAAATTGCTGGATATTTCTTTCACCCATAATTGGTACTTAAATTATATTGCATTTGCAAGTCTGAAACGGAATGAAACATTGTTTAAATTAAGCAATTAACTTTATAAGGATGAAATGACTCGTTGTGTAGGTATATTTGATATCCGCGTTGGTAAGTCTGATGTACTTAACGAGATTGTTTGTGCGATTTTACCTGTAAAAACTTCACTCTGTCGGCTGTACCTCTTGCATGTATGGAAAATACTTAATTGATCGTTTTTTGGATAACAGAACGTAGCTATATTTCAACGCTGCGAAATTTCTACTCGCGAATAATAATTTTGTTGGAAACTTTTACACATTTGAACTGCGTTAAGCAGAAAACAACCAAGCCACATCAGCTATTGCCAAATTCAATTGGACAATTTAAGTTTTCACGTGAAATAGGTTGTGCTGGTTTTTTGTTTTGCAAATTTCAGTAAATTTTTTGCATAGCACGATGGAAATTCCTTAAAATTGTCGAAGGAATCCGCACAAATTTTTGCTCGTAAAAAATTAAATTGCCCAGTTAAATTTCGCAATAGCTTACGTGGCTTTGTTCTTTTCTGCTAAACGCCGTCCATGTATTGCTGAAAATTTTTCGGGATTTTTCTTCAATTGCAAGAAAATTTCAGAAAAATTGGAGCAGAAAGCGTTCACTCTCTGTCTTGCAAAAAATGTAATCATTCGAGTGAATTTTGCAACCTGAGACTGGAATTACGTTTCTTCGTCTGGGCAACGAAGATTTGGCTCGATTTTCCACCAGCTTCACTTTTATCGACTGAAAGAGTGCGGATTCGGAGAAAGTAAATTTTGGCAACGCCTTGGTACATTTGGCGCTGGGCGGCTGTTAACGACAGGTGAGGCTGAGGGACTAGGTGACAGAGCTCTCTGACCCCGTTTTGCGTTTTCAGCTCATTTCACGGTGGTTAAATGAACAGAAATCTTAATTTATTTTAAATGACGTTAATTGTTACGTGGCATTAATTTCAGTTTTATTCGTCTCCTCGGCGCGTCTCTTGTCTCCTGGTCGAGTAGCGCCACCGAATAAATCCCCCACTCCGATAGAAAGTGCCCAGTCGAGACGTTGACAGCGTTGCCGCTGAAGAGGAAAAAAATAAGAGGTCGAAACCAGAATCATCCTAAGTACATTTAACGTTGCCTGATTCCATTTCATGCTTTACTTTTTTAAACAGAAACCGAAAAAACATAAAGCTTCGAAACTTGCTTTGAATTTCTCCTAGATTATGATATGAGTAGAATTTCTCTATACTTATATTAAAATAATATTTTAATATTATCTGCAGAAAGGATTCTGCAAGTATTATTAGAATCCTTGGTTCTTTTCTGCCAAACATGGTCAATTGCGCCCTCAATGGAAAAAAAAAAACACATTGGATCTAGAGTCCAGACTCTTGAAAACATTGACAAGAAAAAATACTCTTGATTCAATCAGATTTAAGCTTAAATCAAAAGGAAATCCGCTCAAATTAAGAGGCTCGGTTCTTGGTTTAAGCAAAAATCCGATTGAATCAAGAGTATTTTTTCTTGTCGATGTTTTTAAGAGTCTGGACTCTAAAACCAGTGTGTTTTTTTTTCCAGTGCTCGTTATTTTCACCCGGGATATTTTGTCCGATCATACTTTTATCATAATATTTTGCCTACGGGCTGATTCTTGGAATCTATAGACATAGCTTTATAGAAAGAAGACGAAAGGAATATGAAGGGATCCTATTGGTGGAAGTGGGTGGTTGCAATGGACAAAGGAGTTAGGTAATATACTTACTAACAACAACCCACTTTAGACCCTTTAGTTATAGTCCATCATTTTCTCCCTTAGTCTACAAGAACCACACAATTAAACCGATAGGATTCCTCCATACTCCTTATGTCTTCTTTGTCTATCAATTTGAACAATCAGCCCGCTGGAGACCTATCGTTAAATGAAGCCTCGTCCTCGTCATTGAAGTTTTTTTCTTTGTATCTTCATATAAAATGCTCAATTTCGATTCCGGTCCAGGTCCTACTTTTACGCGTAGCCGTTGAATGCGGACTCACTGGGGCTCACCAGGTGATGAATGACTGTTGTAAGTCTCGTGCTGGATGTAGTCCGAAGACTAAAGGCGTCCTGAATCCGGCCTGGGCGAGGGCGGACCCGGGACCCAGGCGGCTGTACGCTAAGCCGCCAAGCTTTTCAATCAGTTTAGCTGATTAATGCAGGGGGTCATG